CAAAGGAGAAGTACTTAGTCATCTTCACAGCACCATGACTGGAGTAAATGAAATTGTGTAACAGGAAGACAATGAGATAAAACTTTACTTGTGAGGCAATAACATGCATCTATGACTGTGTTCAGCATTTGTATTTGTTTAGTGTGCTAGTGTAAAAGAGAATGATGTGGAAAACAGCACACAAAGCTACTATACGCATGAGTCCTTGGTCATTTCGGGTGCAAGGTTAACATCACAAATTATCAACTATAAAAACACCTGGTAAAAACTTATATTAAAAGCTTTACCGAACAACGGTGTTTAAAACCGGAGTCAATAAAATTACAGCAAACCAAGTCAACCGTTTTAATCAACAAATATCAAAAAGATCCCTCTGGATCACTCAGAGTTTAAACTAGAACTCATCCAAACAAAGGGGTTGAAAAACTGAGACCAGGAGGACAGCAGAACCCCTGCACTGCTGCCTCCCAGACTGCTGAAGGCGCAGCCTTTTTATACAGGTGTTGGTAATCAGCAGGATTCAGCTCAGCTGTGCTCCTCAGCATCCTGGAAGAGAGGAAGAGGAGGGGCGGTGTCAGCCTGATCTCCGGGGCTGGGTGAACCTGGCTCCTGAATTTCACTGGCCAGGCTGGTAGCCGTAACAGGATCAAATGACCACACCCGGTCGAACTAGCTACAAGCTAACCTGAAGCTAATCCAAAGCTAACGCGGAGGTGGGAGCTAAGCTAATAGAGGTAGCTACTTAGCTACAACCGGAGCTAACTCTGTGGAACCGAGGTGTGGAACACCAGCGACCTGAAGCTCACACGAAGTTTGTGTGGAGGTTTGCGGCGTTTTTTCATGAAAACTATCTTTCTGTGAAAAAAAAAATTAAATCTGTAAGTTTATAAGTTATTTCCTTAATGAAAATTTATTTTCCTTTGAGCAAGTTTTCAATATTTTAAAGTACCGTATTTTCCGCACTATAAGTCACTCTGGAGTATAAGTCGCACCAGCCATAAAATGTATAATGAAGAAGAAAAAAACCTATATAAGTCACATTTTGGGGGGAAATTTTATTATTTTTCTTACAAAATCTGAGACAGAGCGTTTCACATTGCAAGACAAGTACTGGTAACAATAATCGAATAAACAACACAGGCGCAGCAGCGCGCCACGGTCTCCAGTAGAGGATGGCGGTGTTTGAAACCCTCCCAGCGGGACAGGGAGCTCATTCCTGGGTCGGAGCCAGCCCACAGCAGCGCACCAAAGGCTGCAGCAGGTGATGGCGGGGCAGAGGAGCTGAAACCTGGGCTGGATCCAGTGTGCAACAGGCTCCAGCAGGTGATAGCTGTGTGTTTTTTATTCCCAGCGGGGCAGGGGAGCTCATTCCTGGTCCAGAGCCAGCCCGCAGCAGCGCGGTATAGCCTACATAATTTGGTATATAAATCGCTCCGGAGTATAAGTCGCAGGACCGGCCAGACTATGAAAAAAAGTGTGACTTATAGTGTGGAAAATACGGTAGTTATTAGTATTTGAGATAAATTAGCAGACTAACTAGATTTCATATATTTCTAAAACTTAATACTTGTTCGTATCTTGTACAGCCAAGTAGCCTTTATTCTGGACTCAGTACAACTCACCAAAAGTAAAGAGACATTATACAGATGAAGTAAGCACAAGATAACTTACTGGAAGAAACAGAATTATCATGAGAACCAGAACAAGAGAGCCTGATAACAGTCATGTGAAAATAATAACTAAAAAGTATGTATGTATAATAGAAATAAAAATATATTAGAATTAGAGTAACTCACTGTGATCCAAACAATAAATCAGCCATAGCTGATTAGCAATCATGAAATGAGGTCTGGGAGTTTTTAAGTTTCATTCTTTTATTACATTTTTTTTCTGAGATCTGTTAAAAGGTCACCATGGCAGCCTGTGTGTCTTCAACGTCTGCTACACAAAGCAGCAACTGTAAGGACCAAGTACCTGTCTTAACCACTTCATGTATGGTTTTGTACTTTAAACAGCTAGGCCAAACCTGTTATTTTTTTCTCCATAGCCATTTGGATCATTGGAGACAGCTACATGAGGCGTGGTGCCCAGAGAGCTGCAGAGACCCTCGGAGACTACCTTGGCCTCCCTGATGTCCGTGTCACCTGATTCTGTTGGGGCGGACTGAGGTGGAAAGACCTTCTCCCCTTCTTTTTCCACTCCCTGTGAGGAAGAGCAGCTCCTGGTCAGCAGTGTGAAGCTGGTCAACATGATGATGGAGGACCTACACCGGCTTCACCTTCTACACCCTCATATGATGACCATCATGTCATCCATCACCCAAAGGTGTAGCTGGAGGGCAGGTGTAAAACCTGCTAAAATTGAGAAGGCCAGGAGGTTTGTTAACAGTGTTATGGCTACATTTATTTCTAGCTTAAATGGTGCCGTTGTTGTGCATCCTCACATCAGACATGACCAGGGAAATTTTTGTCAGACAAAGTTCATTTCACAAAAAGGGGAAATGATATTTTTTTAAACTAATATTGCCGATTGTCTTAATGACCAGCTCCAAAAGCAGTGAAAGACTTCCAGGTGGGAGTCTTGCTGCTTCTGAATTTTGCCTTTAGGGCAAAATTGCGTCATTTTAACAACCACGCCCCTCCACAGTGCCTCCACGTGGTCCAAACCTTCCGCACCGCGCACCTAGGAAATTTTCTAACCACGCGGATGGTCAGACGCGGAAAAACATGGCGGACTGGCAAGAACTAGTATGGCAGAGGTTTGTAAATACAGACATTTGTATGATTCAGCTCTCAAAGATCACCGTGATCAACATGTTGTTAATAATTCTTGGACAGAAATAGCTCGCACTGTCGGAAAAGACGAGGACGCTGTTAAAAAATGCTGGAATGCCATGTTGTAAACAGTAATTTTTACTTCTACTATGATGAAGTGTTGGATGCATGCCTAGAGCTCCATGCTGCCCCCTACAGTTTGGGAGAATATTGGCTCACCTCAGAGACAAGCCGCATGAACCATAAACACTGCAAGTTGTGAAGCGTGTTCCATCCGCGAGCCGCATCACCAAGCGGAAAGTAAATGCGTCAAACATAAACCAAGCTTTACACAGGGGGGATGGCAGACACCTGTAACTTCAATCCAAGCAGCATTTGTGGGTGTGTTACTATTCAAATCCAGCAGCTCGTGCCGGGTCTGATCCTTCGCTCCACCGTGCCGGGGAGGGGGGGACATGGTGGCGGTGATTGGGCCACTGAAAACTCCGCTGGTGATTGATTCAGCCCCAGGGGTGTAATCCGCGGGAATTGGAGCCGGAGGGGGAGAAACCGCTGGGTCGGGGAAAGACAGGTGGTGGGGGGGCCTCGAGCAGCTCGTACCGGTCCGTGCCGGGGGTGGGGTGTGATGTGGTGGCGGTGATGGGCCGGTAAAAACTCTGCTGGTGATCGATTCAGCCCCAGGGGTGTAAACCGCGGGAATTGCAGCAGGAGGGGGAGGAACCGTGGGAAAAAAAATCGCTGCTAGCAGGGGGTGGCCCAACACAGCCTCAGTAACAATAATAATGATAATGGCTGGGTTAGTTTGGGAGAAGGCATTTTGATGAGCCAGTTGGATACTGTGGAGACAGAGATCTGTCAAATTCAGAACACATTGATTTTCTTTCAGTTTTTTGGGATGAGGAATTCTGGACCCTCATCACAAATGAAACTAACCAATATGCTCACCAGTATTTAGAGGGGGAGGAACTGAAATCTAGCTCCAGATATAATGACTGGTACAATGTAACTGTCCCAGAAATGAAAGTGTTCATTGCCATTCAGTTCTGCATGGGGCTTGTGGAAAAGCCTGAGATTGAGGATATATATTTATATATATATATATATATATATATATATATATATATATATATATATATATATATATATATATATATATATATATATATATATATATATATATATATATATATGTATATTATATATATTATAAACGAAATAAACCAAAGAAGGGATGAGTGAAATGTGTTCATGACACTGAAGCACCAAAGACAGTGTTCTTGATTGATACGCAGTAAACATAACAAAATACCAATAAAGTTATAAATATTATATATACATATATATATATATATATATATATATATATATATATATATATAGTTATATATATAGTTATATATATATATATATAGTTATATATGTCTACATAGGAATATGTATATGTGAATCATAAACAATAACAACACTAAGAAAATAAGACAAAAACATAGAAAAAAAATCTGCAAATGTGATGCAATCCAATATGGCTGCCACCTGATGACGTCATAATATACAAATTATGTGAGTGAATCTATCACAAAATTTGGCTCAAATTGAAGATTTTTCTAATTTACAATATTCCTCTATCTCTAACCAGATTTAAGCTACAAGCTCTTTAAATAGTGATATAAAAATTCATATTTTACTGAAAAACAGCAACATGACAGACAAATGGTGGACTGTCTGCCAGAATGTGCTGAACAGATTTGCTCTATCAAGAAGAGCCTTTTGTGTACGAGTTTATGTTATCGTAATATGTGTTTGGGTTATGTATCACCACATCAGCATGTAAATGCTGAACCAAGCTGGAATAAAAGTGTTGATAGAGGACAAACAAGTAAATAAGAGAGAAAAATAAAAACAACTAGGAAACCAACATAAAAAACAGCAACCAGCTGCTGCACCTGTAAAACATTTCTAAGAATCATCAAGAAAATGTGGGATGAACAACTATAAACATGTAAACCATGAACTACAAACTGGCACCGAAGCAGTCAGAGATGCGCCGTGCTGACTGCTGGGGAGAACCGGGTGGAAGAATGGAACACAGAAGTGTCCCTCCGAGAGCTCCATCATATTTCAACCTATTTTTATGTTAAATGCACTGGGTTTTACCATGGTTTTACCCATTGACATATGCCCTATTAATTATTTTACCGTATATCACATCTAAATTTCATGGTTAAAGAGCAAGTAACGTCTAAATTAACTTTTTTTTGCTGATGAACTGTATAAATGAGTGTCTAATAGTGTTTTAAATGTGTGTATTCATTATTTTAGCATTTTGGTGCATTTTCTTAAAAAATTAAAAATTCTGCCTAAATACCACAGTATAGCTCCACCTTCAGCTTAAAACATAGAATTTGACTCATTTTGAATAAATTTTAGCCAATGGCTAAAGAGTAAGATACTACGTAATCCAGTAGAGTACTACGTAGCAGCTCTGTGTCAACGTTATAAAAGCATCGGGAGTCTCGGCCACGCCTTGTGGCGAGTTGGGAGTTGGATTTGCATGAGAGTGTAGGAGGCTAGCCGTAGTTCAGCATTAGCATATAGCATTAGCATATCCTAGTCTTTAGCATAGCTTTTAGTGTTATACATACTTATTTAGTGTTAGCTTGACTGTTGGATATTGTAGTTTAGTTACTGTTTGGCTGTTAGTGTAATTAGGAAAGTAGTTCGGGTTTAGTGCTCCATATCGTGTTAGCATGGTGAGATGGTGTAGTGTAGTATGGTTGCGGAGCTCTGTCGGGTTGCACTCCTTTCCGCTGGACTTAGAAATTAGGCGCCAGTGGTTGCGTGTCTGGAAAAGATTCAGCTCCCGCCTGGTGCTGTAGTTTGCAACCAGCATTTTACCCGCGATTCTGCACGTCTCCGTTCCAAGAGGGAGGTTGTGCCCACCGTGGCTCTTCCGCGATTTAGATACAGACCACCGACTCTGCTCCCCCACCATGACGGGCTCCAGTCTGAGGTGAGTAAGCTAAATAAAAGTTTTAACATCTTCTAAAGACAATTTCCTACCTAAATGCAAAGTTTGAGAGACGTGGTTCACTCCATTTAGCTAATATCAGTCTGCACTGCCTTCGGGCTGATTTGTCAAGTTCACAAAATGTGGAACGGGATGTAAGGTTAGAATCAGCGGCGAATCGGAACATATCTCGAAGCCCTGGCCGACAAAACGGTCCACATGACTGTCAGGCTCAGAGAAAATTCGGGTTGTTTTTGTGTCAGTCGGTAATTCAGCAACAGTGACTCTAAACTGACGCAGCACTAGTTGACAGACAGCATTACAGCGTGAAATCTAGCACAGCGTGACCCGGTTCCGTGAGGAATTCTGTTCAGGAGGTCGCATTTCAGGGTCTCCACATCATATGTGACTGACTTTTACTTTATAATAACATCACACACTAGGAATGTTATAAAGCGCCTATATGGGACATTTTTTTTTGTATTTTATCTGACTTTATAAACATAAATGTGCTTCTATTTTTTTTCAGGCTAAATCTACCCAAGACACTGGCTGTCAGACTGATTTAGTAATCTGCAAGAATGCACTTGTCCAGGCTGACGTGAAGCCTTGCCCGTAGCAAAGGTGAATTATTTTTAATAATCTTCTATGTAAACATTTTATTACCTTCTAGTTTTAATTTGTTTTACAGATTGTTACAAGTGATTTTATGCTCTTTTAAACATTTATAAATGTGCTGCTTCTTTGTTTTTATAGAGCTCACAGCCTCAGTGTCTTGTGACACAGGGACCATGACAGAAATTCATCTTCCAGAAGGTCCCAGAGCATCCACACCCCCTGAAAAGACCACGGTGTGAGGTGTCTGCTGTTGATTCCAGCTTCCACCTCAGTGACAGTGCAAGCTCAGTGAACTGTTCAAGGTAAAAAAAAATTAAAACATTTCTGAATTTTTAAGATATTAACAATTAAATAAGTATGTGATTACATCATGAAGGAGGCTACTGATTCTGGCCCTGTGACACTTGGTGGTCACCACCAGGTGGTGACGTGTGAGCTGATTCACCTGGTAAATAACTTTTAAATATTTTGTTTTTGCTATCAAAAGTAAATTAACTAATAACCTGCATTACTGCAGGACACTCAGCAAAATATGGACTCTACACCATGAGGCAGGCACACGTTAATAACTCTATAAGAGTACATAAGGTAAGCAACACCACATATTATTTTTATTACTGTACACTGTCCTGGATTTGTTTTCTTTCTGCATGATTTGTTTTCTTTCTGCATCTCATCATTAGCCTGGCTGATCACCTGATAACTCATGTTATCTGGTTATGACAGCATGAGGATGTCCTCACACACCTGTAACCTACCAGCTCATCTGGCAGAATAGAGAGAGAAGAGACAACACCACATCTCCTGTTCCTGGAAAGCCTTCAGCCATCCTTCGATGACTGAGAACCTCCATCAGCTCTGTCTCCTGTCTGCCTACAATTATTATAATAAATATTGTGTTTGACAAGTTTTTTGTGCTGCCGAATATCTCATTTTGATTCCAGTTTTGATATTTTAATGGATATTTATAAATTACATTGATTATCACATTGTTGCATGTTTAACTAGCTCTATTGTGATGAATTAAACTAGCACCTCACTGTTAAAAGCTCGTTTTAATTTCAAGCATGTTTAAGTATTTATGGACATGAACAAAAACAGGAAATATATAAATTGAGATTTATTTAATTAATATAACAAATAAGGGGGAAAGAGTCATTGAAAGGCACATTCTTCTGGAAGCTCCTGATCCCGACGACATCAGCAGGAGATCAGCTGCAGACACCAGAGGATCACCTGCAACCAAGAGCAGCTAGCATCAGTAAATAAATAATGAAATCAGGGCAGTTTTAATGGGCTGAACACATTACAGAATAATTTTCTCATGGGATATTTTCATAACTTTATGCAGCAGACTGTAGCTTGAGCCCAGATCTCCTGGAGAGCTGCTATCCAGCACGTTTCAGTGGATTTTCCTGCTTTAACAGGTTAGATAAGCTGTTAAGCAGCTCAGCTGTTTGTTGCTGATTAAAACCAGGTGTGTTGATGCAGATAAATCTCTAAAACATGCTGAATACTAGCTTTTTAGGGCCATGGAGACAAACCCTGCAGCTAATCCAATGCTATGGCTAACGGCTACTTACGTTCAGAGATGGGTCTGTTGGGTCGGTTCCAGTAATTTCAGGCAACTCACAAGCTCAAAACAATAAGGCTCATGTCCGCTTGTCTCCTCCAAATAGACTTGGTCCCTTTCTTCTCGAGTGTCTGGGTAAGGAGGGGGAGAAACGTCCTCCACTTCTAATGACTGCTCAGAGTGAAGGGAGCTAGCTTCGTCTAGTTAGCCGTCTCTTCGTCACTGCCGCGGCTCCGCCCTCTCGGTCCTCCAGGCAACGCCTACTAATGTTGCAGTTTTCAAAATTGATACGTGGGTGGGGTAAGACTCTGAGGCACACTTGACATGCACTTTAAACAGCATGCTAAAATGGTAGTTAGCTAGCTACTTTGATAAACTCAGCTAGTGCTGTTAGGTAATTTATCTCCCATCCAGGATTACCTTAGGGAAAGTTCAACACGCAGGGGTTATACTAATCAGCTGATCAAACCATATACCAATAACTGACCAACAAAAAAATTTAGACTTTGCAAAGTGGAGAAATGAAATACACACCACACAGAGGTCTGACACTTCACTCTCATCAGACAAAGTCCTCCAAGAGTATTTATTAAGCAGACACACAGAAAGATAAAACGCACACACATTTACACACACACATTTGAGGCTCTCACAGACTCTCAGGCAGGGAGACACTCCAGGTGCAATTTCTAAAACAATAGAACTGTCTCAAGGGAGTTCTACTGATAAGGGGGTCCATCACCAGCACCAAGTCTGGTAGCGAGGGCAAGGTCAATCCTCCCTGTTAGAGCTTACAAAAGCCTGTCTGTTCCCAGAGAAATAGAAATAGATGAACCTTCGTTTAAAACCTCCAGATGTCAAACCATTAAAGACATTATTAACAGTAATATCAGCTTTATCCAACAAGTGCAAAAAGCGGCAGTGACCTAACATACATAAATATAAAAGAACCAACATTTTACTTACCGAAAAAAATGAATTGGAGACTCCTTGGACGCTCTGTTAGTGCAATTAATACCACAGCAAGTCATTTTGTCCAACAATTGCACAAATAATATCCAAAAAAAGAATACACAAACATAGAGACTAAAAATCCCGGAACAGTTTTCAGGCGAGACCGAGGCTCTACTGAGGCCTTTCCACGGAGCTAGCGCTGTGGTCACGTGGGTCTTAGGTGGCAGTCACGTGGGTCTGATTCTCAGCATTGTGTAAAAAGGAGGGGGGGGGGGGTGTACTCTCTATTGGACGCCGGACACCCACTCATGCTCCCTGTACAGACCCTATTCACTCTGGTCCCGGTACTGTTGCACAAAGGGTACAACCATCTCAGACTTCGACCCTTTCTGCTGGGGTGCTGATGACCAAGCTCCCCCGCCCAACGCCGAGCAAAGCGACCCACCACCCCAGACCCCAGCCAGACGGCCAGATCCCCCTCCTAGCCTCCAGCCCCAGGAATCCAAGCGACAACAGAGGTGTGCTAAGACCCCTAGTCTCCCTCTGCCTTCTCCAATACAGTGTTGGTCCGTGTTGATGTATTTGTGGCTGTGGTAAGCGGGCAGTGCAGGCATCGTCTGGCCTACGCCAGCTGATGCTACCACACCATTCCTTTTACCCCCACAGCCTTCTGTGTCTAAGTGCAGTTTAAAATTGGAAGTGGGCACCGGCACTTGGGATGAGGCTGAAAGATCCCCTTGCCAAATGCCGGTGTAATTTCTGGTGTAAATTCAACATCAAATCCATTGCTATGCAGATGACACCCACTTTTCTTCTAAACTCTGATTCATACACTGAACAAAAATATCAACATAACACGTTAGTGTTTGATCCCTTCTTTTATGAGCTGAACTCAAACATCTGAAACTTTTTCTACACACACAAAACACCCATGACTCTCAAATATTGTTCTGAAATCTGTCTACATGTGTGTTAGTGAGCACTTCTCCTTTACCAAGTTAACCCATCCCACTTCATAGGTGTGGCAATAACAAGGGGCTGATTAGACAGCATGAATATGTATAGGTGTGCCTTACCCCCAAATTCCACTACCTCCGCTCCGCTCCGGTCCGCCCCCGCCCTCCGCTGCCGCTCGCTTCCGAACTCAATTTTTACTGGTACCCGCTCTACAACGGCTCCGCTCTGGTGCGGAGACCTGAGGTGGGCAAACAAGCATGCGCGGGATTTTCGAGATCTTGCGATACAGTCCGAGCAATTAACGCGGAAGTTAGATCCAAACACCCGTTGTGTGGGAGAAGCATCGAAATGAACTGTTTAATCTGCCTATTATTTGTGTTGAGAGATCAACAGTGTTTGGATCAACAAAGTGTGACTACTTTGATAGTGGAAACTGTATTTATGGCTTATTTTTGTGCATTTAAAGTTCAGCCGCCACTGATAGTTGTTAAAAGTTGTTAAACCTGTGCATATGAAACAAAAAACGCCTTTTGTTTATCGATGTATTGTGAAAAACGGAAGTTGTGCCCGCTCCTTTTCCTGTTGGACGGTTGTGATTTCTGTCCATTTACTGCGGAGGTGCTCCGGCGTCCGGCGAAAATAGGATCGATTCTATTTTTGCCGGACGCCGGAACAGAGGGCGGCGCACGGCGCCGCACTGCCGGAGCATGGCCGCAGTAGTGGAATTGCTCTGATTGACTACAACGGGACCGATTTTGCTCCGGCGTTCGTGTCGGAGCGGAGCGCAGCGGAGAGGAGGTAGTGGAATTTGGGGGTTAGGCTGCCACCAATAAAAGGCCACCCTCACATGTGCAGTTTTATTAAACTGCACAATGCCACAGATGTCGCAACCTTTAAGAGAGCGTGCAATTGGCATGCTGACTGCAGGAATGTCTACTGGAGCTGTTGGAGCTCTTTGTAAAGGGACCTTGTGAGCAAACAAAAATTAGAGATTGGTGACTGGAATTAGTTGAGCTGAAACAATAAATTAAACTCGCATGATGTGATCTGATATGAACATTTGTATCTTACACCAGACAGATAAAAAGATACACTCTTAATAAAAAGATAAATTAATGTAACAATTGACATTAAAAATGTTCTTTTGTTTGTATATTACTTCTTTAAAAATGTGCAAAAGGAGAAAATCTATTTATTTAATGTAACCAAAATGTGTTTTCCTCTGGAGATTATACATCATCTGCAGTGCCTTTGGTCCTGGAATCTGGATCTGTTGCATTTTTGTCAATAATATTCATCCTCCAAGTTGGGCTGATAAGGAGTTTCAGTATGTGGCCCATGGGGAATTGGCTGGGGCCTTTTGCCATAATCTGCAACAAATGAATAAATTCAGTTCTGCAGAATAACACAAGAACAAGATATGTTTTTGCATTTGACCTGTGATCACTTAGAAGAAAAGTAATTAAATTTGGCTACATGCTATACAAAAAAGTTGTCAATAACCTGAAAATATGTTATGAAAAATATCTCACCATCAAATAGGTGGATGTATGGTTTCAGAAGGTTAGGGTCAAAAAGCAGCTGGAGCTCCTCTATCTGCCTGTCTGACCTGTTAGAATAAATACATACTGGATAAACATGGAGCAGAAACCTCACACCTGAATATGATTAACAAGGCTGGATTATCCTGTATGCATTATGGGCACAGGCTCAGCTGCTTATGCCCACTGGGGCCCCACGTAAGCAGCCCAAGGGGAAAATGATAAATGACCCACACGTGCATAGCACCTTTCAGATTCAAGCTCAAAAGCGCTTTACACTGAAGTGTAACATTCATCCATTCACAAACACATTGACACGCTGTTGATGCTGAGCTACATTCAAGGGCGTCAGTTTGTTTTCAGAATTGCTGGGGACAATAACCATACACTTGAGTGGGGTTTAAAAATTGCTGGGGACAATAAAGTAGGCTAGCACAGGGGTCGGCAATCCGCGGCTCTGGAGCCGCATGCGGCTCTTCCATCCATCTGATGCAACTCTCTGTGCTTGTAAAATAATAAATGGATATTTAAATAAAATGCTTTATATTTTACTGCATTAATTTTACACCTGTATGCCAATTCTAAATGTAAAGATTGTCTGCGTAAACCTGAACAGGTCCAACCCGGTCTGCGGTGGTTGACCGGTCACGCTTGTGCGTAATCATATAGGCACTTTATGAGCTGAAGAGGATGTGAGATTCTGGGCTTCTCCTCAGACGGCTCCTGGATGTGTCGCCACATTGGAGCCAGGAACAAGCGCTATTCAGCCAAAGTTTCATCATCAGGGAACATTTTCTAAGTGACAAGTCTCTCTGAGAGACAGGGTTTGGAAAACACTCGCTTCAGTGGGAGGAATCTTCCCGCATGCGCACTGCATGGTTCTCTGCGTGGCTCTGAGGTTAATCAAGTTTAATTGTTTCTCTTTGCAACAATCTTCACAGGAAGGCAAAACAGTTAAACGGCAGGTTACATATATTTCCATTTGACTGTTTATTTTGACAGATGTACTCAAGGATGTTGCTTGGTTTGAAAAAATTACCCCGACGCACACGGATGCTCATGGATGAGCTGACATTTTAATCGTTAACGCACACGCGGAGGTAAAATATTCCCATCAGAACATCAGAGCTCTTTATACTGGACACTGTGTTCAGCGCGGCTCGGAGCGCCCCCGGTGGACAGTGAGCTGAAGATCTGGGGTTCGCAGTGCAGCGCAGTGCAGAACCACGCGCATGCGATGATTTCCTCCCACTGAAGCGTTCTGGAAACCCGGTCTCTCTGAGGGATGTGTCACTTGGAAAATGTTCTTTTTATGAAATTATGAAACTTTGGCTGAACAGCGCTTGTTCCCGTCTTCCGCATGAAGCGTAGAGACATTTGATCACGCACAAAGTTTATGTGGAGCAGAAGCGGTCGGGCCACGGCAGGTGGAATGTTCCTAGCCTACATGAAGTGAAACTGTTTAATTGTAACATTAATGTGTTACTGGACACGCTGGTCTGGTTGGTTAGACCAGTGTTTGAAGTGGAAAACACACACACACACACACTCACTCACTCACTCACTCACTCACTCACTCACTCACTCACTCACTCACACACACACACACACACACACACACACACACACACACACACACACACACACACACACCAATTAAAATATAAAATAATGCTGATAGCGTGGACTAGAAGACAGGTGATGGTTTACGTATTTAAATGATGATCAGGCTGCTGTAAAATGTAATCTCCATCCACATCCAGACACAATTATCCTCTAGTCTTTCTCTAGTTGCTCTGCTCTTGTCTGGGCTGATCAGCTGATGGTGCGCGCGCGCCTAACTAGCGGCTGATGCACATTTTACGCATTTGGAGAGGT